TGTAGACACTCTTGGTACACCCCCTTGTGGACTTTGTGCACAGTCTTGTTGTAGTTAAGCCTTGATTGTTGTAGGTAATACTGGGAGGGATTGACCTCCAGGCCAATTGGCTGTGAGAATCAGCTGTGTCTGCAGTGGGAGAAGTTCTATGCTGGAGACACCCCTCCGGGGCTGGAGACTTGCTTCAGTGGGGCTTTGGTGCTCACTGAGTCTGCCCCCTGAGTGTGTCCTTTATGGATCCGAGGAGCTGCAATCTGGATGGTCCTACCCTGACCACTGGGCGCACTGGCTCCTGGACCTCTAAGGAGGTGCTAATCTAGCCTCTGCCTGAGGCTACCCAGCCGGAGCTCAGCTGTGAAGCAGTGCAAGTTGCCGTGGGGCCTTGGGCCAGCTGCAGTTTGTTAGGTAATTTTCAGATTGCAAAGGGCCAGGCCTTTCATATGCAAAAGCCTCCATGCAAGGCTTGGTCAGGGCAGGGTCCCACGGGATCAACAGGGCGGAACGAGCAGTTATGGCTGCTCTCAGGCCTGCCCTCAGAGGCCCCACTTTTCAGTGTCCCGGCAATCGCTGCAAGCACCTCTGAGAAAAAGCGGCCTTCAAGTTCCGACCGATGTCAGACCAGTTTCTCCCGTATGAGTCTGAGTCCCCGGAGACTCGCCCGGAACTGGAGTTCAGAGCAGTCAGGAGCTTGAGACTCCCTCCTGATTGAAAAAGATAACCGTGTCCTCAGCCGCCAGCCCTCTCCGCATGCGCCTCCGTACCTCCGTACTTTACTTCTGCACCGCACCTCCTCTGAGTCTCGGTGTGCTTTTCTCTTTCCTTCCACTCAGCTAGCCTTCTTGTGGTTCTGGATGATGTCCGTTCTGTCTTTTAGTTGTATTCTTGAAGTGGTTGTGCGAGGCAGCAATCTACGGTGTTTACCTATGCCGCCATCTTGGTTTTCCCTCTCCATTGATTTTTAGAGAGATTGGAAGGGACGGGGAGAGACAGAGAGAGAGACACATATATCGACTGGTTGCCTCTCACACTTGCCCTGACCAGGGCCGGGGATGTAGCCTGCAATGGAGGTTCATGCCGTCAATCAGAATCGAATCTGTGACCCTTTAGTCCAGAGGTCGCCAACCGGTAGTCCTCGGGCTCCTGGTGGTCCGTGAATTCCAAAAGGTTGGCGGCCCCTGCTTTAGTTTGAGGGCCAACACTCTAACCATTGAGCAAACTGGCCAAAGCTACTATGATACTTTCTTAGAGGCCAGCAATATTCTTCTGTTCTTGTCCTTCCATTTTGGCTTGACTTGGCTTTTTTCTTCCCAGATTTCTGCACGTGATGCCAAGGCACAGAATGATTTGGGAAGTAGCCGTGCTGCTCAGCTTGGTCCTGGGAACGGGGGCTACTCCCGAGGACGATCCCGAGGATGGAGGCAAGCACTGGGTGGTCATTGTCGCAGGCTCCAATGGCTGGTATAACTACAGGCACCAGGTAGGAAAATGGCTCATCTCTTTCTTTATGGCACGGGCATTCTGTAAATAGCCCTGGACGTCGTTAAAAGAGCAGACCTTTAAAAAAGCCATTTACCCTCTTTTCAGGCTGCCAAGGGGACGTGTTAGCGAGGCTGGCGAGAAATGGGAACCCTTATGTTCCTGGGGGGTTGTCAAATGGGGCACCTGCTTTGGAAAGCAGTTTGCATTGCCTCAAAAAGGCCCCTGTGGCGTCACCTCAGTCTAACCGAGGTTTTTAACCTTGGAGCTGTTGACATGTGGGGCCGGGTTATTCTTTGGGAGTCTGCCCTGTAGGACGTTTAGCAGCATCCTGGGCCTCTACCCACTGGAAACCAGGAGCATCACCCACCCCAGTCTTTACCAAGTGTCCCTAGTTGAGACCCACTAGTCATCACCTTCCTGATATAGAAAAGGAAACTGAGACTGAAAGAGGAAGTGACTTCCTGAGACCACACAGGAGTTGAGGTTCAGATAGGACTGAAGCCCAGGGGTCTGGTCGAAGCCTCACAAGCCTCTTTGCCCTCCCGGCCTCTGCCTGCTGCTCTCCATACCCTCTTCCCCAACTTTCCTGGCATTTCCAACAAATCAGGCTGGCAGGAGCTAGAGTGAAAAGATGGTGCGGCCACTTTGGGAAACAGTCTGGCAGTTCCTTAAAAGATTAAACAGAGAGTTACCATATGACCCAGCGATTCCACTGCTAGGCACGCACCCAAGAGAAAGGAACACATATGTTCTCACAAAAGCCTGTACTTGAATGAGCGTAGCAGTATTATTCATCATAGCCAGAAAGTAGAAACAATCCAAGTGTCCATCTGCTGATGAACGGATAAACAATGTGGTCTGTCCACACAAGGGGATGTTATTGGTCATGAAAAGGAATACAGTACCATACCTCAACACGGATGGCCTTAAGAACACGCTAAATAAAAGAAGCCAGTTGCACAGGACCATGTATTGTAAGGTCCCATTTACATCAAATGTCCAGAATAGGGAAATCTACAGAGCCAGAATATCGTTTAGCAGTTGCCAAGGTCTGGAGGGAGGTGACAATGGGGAATGGCTGCTGATGGGTTTGGGATCTCCCTGTGGGATGATGAAAATATTCTAGAATTAGGTAGTGGTTATGGTTGCATGACTTTGTGAATATACGAGAAACCACAGGGTTGTATATTTTAAAAGCCTGACTTTTATGATATGTGAATTACATCTCAATAAAGTTGTAATTTAGCCCTACCCGGTTTGGCTCAATGGATAGAGCATTGGCCTGTGGACTGAAGGGTCCTGGGTTTGATTCCAGTCAAGGCCACATGCCTGGGTTTCGGGCTCAATCCCCAGTAGGGGGCGTGCAGAAAGCAGCCAATCAATGGTTCTCTCTCATTGTTGATGCTTCTCTCTCTCCCTCTCCCTTCCTCTCTGAAATCAATAAAAATAAGTAAGTAAATAAATACTTTTTTGTAATTAAAAAGCCATTTCATTTTGTAATTCTCAGAAGCTGGAAGCATAGACCAGGGGTGGGCAAACTTTTTGACTCGAGGGCCACAATGGGTTCTTAAACTGGACCCGAGGGCCGGAACAAAAGCATGGCTGGAGTGTTTGTGTGAACTAATATAAATTCAAAGTAAACATCATTACACAAAAGGGTACGGTCTTTTTTTTTTTTAGTTTTATTCATTTCAAACGGGTCGGATCCGGCCCGCGGGCCGTAGTTTGCCCACGGCTGGCATAGACCCTCACAGTATGTGCTGAACTGTCCTAGAGCCTTTTACACAGTGAGCTCATTTAGTGCCTGCCATGGGTTATATGCTGTCGTTCCGGTTCTTATCTCCTCTTTGCGAGGGAGTGGGCGGAGGCAGGGAAAAGGCCAGCACTTGACCCCGTGTGGTGGTCAGAGGGCAAGTGCAGAGCCTGGATTCAAACCCAGGCCCATGAGCTCCGGAGCAGCACTGTCGGCAGGACAGCCACATGTGTCGTCGTGAACTTTCTAGTAGCCACAGTTGTAAAAAGTAAAAAAAATAGGTGAAATTAACCTCTTATTTAACTCAATATATCCAAACTATTATTTTACTTGTAATCGACATAAAAAATTGATAACAAGATGCCTTACATTTTTTATTTGGTGCTAAGTCATTGGAATCTAGTGTGCCTTTATAGTCACGGTGCGTGCGGGTCAGACGGGCGCGTTTGAAGTGCTAATCGCTGTGCGTGGTCAGTGGCTGCTGTATGGGCCAGCGCAGGCCTCTCGTCTGTTCCTGATGGCTGGGCAGTGTCTCCGCACCTGGGTGTCAGTTTTCTTACCTGTTGGGTAGGGGCTTGTTTAGATAAGCTCTTGCGAGCTCTAAAATTGATGATTATTGAATGACATTTGTATGCTAGCTGAATAGGACATTTGTTATAGCAAATATAGTGAAATGACCCTTTTCCTTTTAATACTTAACAAGGGGCCTGACCCATTTCCAGAGGAGCAACCCGAGTCTGAGTCCGCAGTGCTCCGCTCCCAGGCTCCTCCTCCTCCTCCCCCCGCCCCCTCCCCACGAGGAAGAAAGATGAGATACTCAGTACGGGGTCACGATAGTGAACAGGCTGATTCATCAGCCACCCTGGTTTTTATACAACCAACTTAAAAAAATATTGGTTAAACATTAAGTGTAGGTATCCCATGAACCTTGCAGCCAGAAAACCTTTTTTTTCTTCTTAGCTGTTGCTAGTTTCCCTGGGTAAAATACTTATCATTGAAATAAAGGGAAGCAAGGCAGAAGAAGTGGCCGCAGACTGAACTATTTGTTCCTGAAGAGGGAGGACGACAGTGCGGAGGCCACAGAGGCTGAGCAGAGAGGAAACACATGTGCCGAGTCACTGCTGACCTCAGCTCCTGCCCCTGCTGGCCTGATGCCTCCCCAGCCAGCGGCCAGCATTTGCTTTCCTGACTCTGGAGGCTAATCATTAAAAGCATTTGAGCCTGGCCGGCACGGCTCAGTGGTTGAGCATCGACCTATGAACCAGAAGGTCGGGGCACATGCCCGGGTTGTGAGCTCAATCCTCAGTGTGGGGTGTGCAGGAGGCAGCTGATCAGTTATTCTCGCTTGTTGTTGATGTTTCTATCTCCCCCTCTCTCTCCCTTCCTCTTTGTATTTTAAAATAAAAGCATATGAAAGAACTTTCCCTGTAGAACCTACTTTTAAACACATTTTTATAAACGCTTACATTTTCCTTGGATTAAGACAGCACTCACTATCACAAATTTCTTAATTGTACACCAGGCACAATTAAGTCATCGCTAAGTGCTTCTCTGTGCTCTGTCTTGACGGAATTGGGTTTCCATTTTTGGCTGGGATTCATGAGTGACATTCTGAGTGTGGGGAGGGGAAGGCTGGGGTTGGCGGATGCCCGCAGTGGCGGGGGCGTAAGCCAGCCTCCGGTGAGTGCAGGTGAGAGGGAGAGGTCCTGAAGTGCAGGCAGCCCATGGTGACAGCTGTACAGTCTGTCCTCTGACAGGCTTGTGAGGGGAAAAGACTAGGGCCTGGGAGCAGTGGGGCTGGAGGTGGGTTTCTTTCAGGACTGAGGTTTGAGCCGGTGGAGAAGGAAGATCTAAGGCCTGGGAATGGCAGTGGGGGTGGTGGTTGATGTGGTTGAAGGTGAAGTTCATTGTTATCAGGAGTTGGGAGGAGAGCCAGGAGGAAGAGGGTTGGTGGGGGGGTGGAGGTCCTTGCAGGGCAGTGGGCTCCGAAGGAGAAAGCTGTTTGGTGGTGTGTTGGCAGGAGGAGAAGCCCTGAGGTTGCTCCCCCACTCACTCCCCTCTGCTGGTCTGGAGTTTGTGGTTGGAGTGGAGGGAAGGCTGTGAATGAGTGTGTCCTGAGACCCCGAGGAGGCAGGTGGGGGTGTGGGTTCCAGCTGAGGCCCAGAGGGATAGGGGAAGTCTTGAGCTTGTACCTGTGGGAGGTGGAAGATGTGACGATGGAGGGTCTGAAAGACCACCTTTCCTTTTATGTTTAAAAAATGTGCCCCCTTATCACCTTTTAAAAACAGCTTAACTGAGGAATGTTTCCTAGTACAAGTCGTAATTCACCTATGATCATTGTACAGCTAAGTGGTTTTTAATAAAGTCATACAGTGGTGCAAGCCTCGCCACAGCCCAGTTTAGGACACATCCATCATTCTAGAAAGTTCCCTGGTGCCCTTCGCAGTCAGTCCTCCCTGTTTCTTCCCAGCCCCTGGTAACCATGGATCTGCTCTGTCTCTATTGTTTTGCCTTCTCTGGGCACTTCTTATAAATGGAATCAGACGATATGTAGTCTTTTGTGTCTGGCTTTTCACTTAGCATAACGTTTTTGCGGTTAATCCATATTGTTGTATTTAAAAAGTGAAGCAGGCTTTTAGAGAGGGCACGGCGGGAAGGGACCAGGGAAGAGGGCAGGGCAGGACTGAGTTAGGGGAATGAAGTTAGCACAGGAGGCTGTCCTTGTCCAGGCCCGAGGCCGCGCAGCATCGGGAACGAGTGTGGGCTTTGGGCTTGCACCGACCTCAGGCATCGGTCCTGCTCTCCGCTCCCTGCCGCATTAGTTGGAGCATATTACGCAATCTCCCTTTGAACCTCTGGTTCCCTCTGGATGATGTGAGGTAGTGCTGGGCTCAGGGAGGCAGCCCCACAAAGCCCACACCCGAGCCAGTGCTCAGAGCAATGTCAGGTGGGTGTACAGAGCAGGGATGTTCTGTGTACACCTGTGGGATGAGCAGACCGTGAGAGCCCTTCCCAACTCCTTCCTGGCTCGGAGGCGGACCCCTTCACAGTGACTGAGGCCAGAGCGTGCCACCCTATTGGCCTTTGTTCCAAGCAGGTTGTCCATTTAGCTGACAGTTGGCCTGGAGGCAGCAGGAGCAGACAGCAGCAGGCCAGGGGCTGCAGCCGGCAGTCACGGGGTGCATTAGCGCGCCCATCGGAACTCCCGGCGCTAGTGCTGAAACATGCTGAGCCGAGGCGATCTCTGCTCAGTCGTCCCGAGGGTGAAGTCTTGCTCAATGCCCTCCCCTCAAAGGTTACCTCATACGGCCCTTCCGTTTTTAAGGGGAAAAACTCATACAGGACAGATAGGATCAAGGGAAGTGAGTCAAGTAGCCTTCACCATTTCCAAATTTTTTTGACTTGGTTTCACCCTACTTTTATTTCTTCTGCGTGCTAGTAGATACTTGACTCATACAAAGAACCCCTGTGAGTTCAAGTTAGAGGCAACCAGGTGCCTCCAAGGACCCACGAGAGAATTGAGATGTGCCTTTGAGACCACTCTGTGGAGTGGACGATGGCGCCAGGCACGGCGGGATTGGAACCTGGGTTTGAAGCACTGAGCCCTTCTGAGCTTGTTTCCATCTGTGAAATGGGGGTGCGGGCGGGGGGGGGGGCGGGGACAGGACAGCTTCCTGTCAAGGTGGTGTGAGGAGTCCAAGCAGCGTGGGAGAGCGCTAATCGGGACATGCCGAACCTGCCCTTTCTAAAAGATACAGCTCTATAGAACCATGTTTCACATATCACATGTAAGTCATCCATTCCCGGTGCACGCTCATTATTTTTAAGTAAATTTACCAAGTTGTGCAAACATCATTGTAAATTAGTTTTAGAACATCTCCATCTTCCCAGTAAGGCCCCTCACACCTATTGGCGGTCCCTACCCCCGGCTACCACTAACCCACTTTCTGTCTCCACAGATTTGCTATTTATGAACATTGCATGTACATGGAGCTATACAACATGGTCTTTTGTGTCTGGCTTCTGTTAGCGTGATGTTTGTGAGGTCGCTCTGTGTTGTAGCGTGTGTCAGGGCTTCGTTTTCATTGCCAGAGGGTGTTAAAAGCGTATGGATAGGCCACATTCTGTCAGTCCATGTACCAGTTGTTGGACATTGGGGTTGTTTCCGTTTCTTGCCTGTTATGAACAACACTGCCAAGAACATTTGTGTGGATTAATGTTTTTGTTTCTTTTGGGCAGATACAGTAGAGTAGATTTGCTGGGTCAAACAGCAAATTTATGTTTAACTTTTTCAGATGCCGTTAAACTGTTTTCCAAAGTGGCTGCATCATTTTACATTCCCTCAACAGTGAATGGAGGTTCTAGTTTCTCCACTTTCTCTCTAACACTTGTTTTGTCTGTCTAGCTGTGAAGTGGTATCTCATTGTGGCATATATGTACACACACACACACACACACACACACACTCTAGAGGCCCAGTGCACGAATTCATGCACCAGTGGGCTCCCTTGGCCTGGCCTGTGGGATTGGGGCTGAAACCGGCTCTCTGACATCCCCGAGGGGTCCTGGATTGCAAGAGAGCCCAGGCCACCCCACTGGTGCAGAATCAGGGCCAGGGAGGGACGCGGGAGGTTAGCCAGCTGGGGAGAGACCATGAGAGGGCTCGATTGGCCAGAGCCCAGCAGCAAGCTAACCTACCGGTCAGAGCATCTGCCCCCTGTGGTTAGTGCATGTCATAGCAAGTGGTTGTGTGGCCTTAGCATATCATTAGCATATTGCGCTTTGATTGGTTGAACGGACGACTGGATGACGGACACTTAGCATATTCGGCTTTTATTATATAGGATTTTAATTGATCTTAGAGGGGGGAAGAGGAAGAGAGAAAAACATGGATGTGGCAGAGATATACATCGATCAGTTGCCTCCCGCACAGAGCCCTGACTAGGGATCGAACCCACAACCTAGGCATGTTCCTTCACTGGGAATCAAACCCACAACCTTCTGGTGCATGGGACAACCTCTTCAACCAACTGAGCCAAACTGGCAAGGGCACAGTGTAGTTTTAATTTGCATTTCCCTAATAACTAATGATATTGGGATCTTTTTGTATGTTCATTAGTCATTCATGATCTTCTTTTTTTAAATTGAATTTATTGGAGTTACATTGGTTAATAAAATTATTTTGAATATTTCACACCAATCCCTTCTGGCCTAAGGTGTTTCTGTTGGGAAATCAGTTGACAGCCTTATGGGAGTTCCCTTATAGGTAACTGTCTTCCTCATGCTGCTCTTAAGATTCTCTCTTTGTCTTTAACCTTTGCCATTTTAATGATGATGTGTCTTGGTGTGGGCCTCTCTGGATTCATCTTGTTTGAGACTCTCTGGGCTTCCTGGACTTGTGTGTCTGTTTCCTTCACCAGGTTAGGGAAGTTTTAGCCATTATTTTTTTAAACATATTCTTGATCCCTTGCTCTCTTTCTCTTCCAATACTTCTATGACACGGATTTGTTACGCTTGATGTTGTCCCTTAGACTTTCCTCATTTTTAAAATTTCTTTTTTCTTTTTTTTTCTGGCTTAGGTGTTTTCTGTTATCTTGTTTTCTAAATTGCCGATTCAATCCTCTGTTTCATCTAACTAACCTGCTGTTCATTCCTTCTAGTGTATTCTTCAGTTCAGATATTGTGTTCTTCGTTTCTGATTTTTTAAAAATGGTTTCTATGTCCTCCTTCATGTTTACTATCTCTTTAAGTTCTCACTGAGATCATCCATTCTCCTAAGTCCTTGAGCATCCTAATAACCATTGTTTTGAACTTTGCATCTGATACCTTGTTTGCTTCCATTTCATTTAATTCTTTTTCTGGGGATTTCTCCTGTTTTGTTTTTTTCATTTGGGTCGTGTTTCTTTGTCTCCCCATTTTGTGTGTGTTTTTGTGTGTGTGTGTGTGTTTGTCTCTGTGTATTGGGTAGATCTTCTACGACTCTCAAACTTGTTACGGTGGTTTTCTGTTCCAGGTGTCTTGTGGGGCTCAGTGGCGCAATTTTCCAGCACCTGAGCTCCATGCCCCAGGAACAGGGGTGGGCAAACTTTTTGACTCAAGGGCCACAATGGGTTCTTAAACTGGACTGGAGGGCCGGAACAAAAGCATGGACGGAGTGTTTGTATGAACTAATATAAATTCAAAGTAAACATCATTACATAAAAGGGTACGGTCTTTTTTTTTTTTAGTTTTATTCATTTCAAAGGCCGTAGTTTGCCCACGGAATGTCTCTTTTCTGGGTTATGTGCTGCCCCAGGAATGTCTCTTTTCTGGGTTATGTGCTCTCTCCTGTTATAGTTGAGTCTTGAATGCTGTTGGCCTATTCGTGGGTGGGGTTAACTGTCAGTCTGGCTGACTATAAGGACAGACCTCAATCATGTTTTATGAGCCACTGTGTAGGGCTGCCGCCCTAGGTGGAGTTGTTTCCAGCAAGGTCTGGAGCCTGCCAGGACCTCCCTTTGGGTGTGCCACCTGTGTGGTTAATTGTGCCAACTTCTGTTGTGGTCTGAAGCCCAACACTGGTTGTGCTGGTTCTGGGTCCACTTGGGTGGGATTCCAGTGCAGGTTGGTATCAGATGCTGCCTATAACCAGCCTTGGGCTACCTGTGTGGAGTTACTATATAATCCACTGTTTTTGGCGGCCTCTACCGGGCCTGGGTGTGTGTGTGTTGTGTATCTTCTTAAGTGATCTTTACTCAAATCTTTTTTTTTCTAGGTTGATTATTTTATTGAGGTACAAGAGCTCTTTGCAAATTCTGACAAGTCCTGTTAGATAATGTGTTTTGCAAATATTTTCTCTTCCTGGGTTGCTTGTCTTTTCATTTTCTTAATGGTGTCTTTTGAAGTGCTAAGGTTTTTCATTTTGATGATGTCCAATTTATCAAATTTTTTCTTTTATAGACCAGACTTTTGGTGATATATCTGTAACATCTTTGCAGTTATAACTCAAGGTTCCAAAGATGTTCTGTTGCCTTCCAACAGTTTTGTTTTAGCCCTTACAGTTAAGTCTGTGATCCACTTTGACCTAATTTTCGTGTTGAGAGTGAAGTGAGGGCCTAGTTCATCTCCTTGCATGTAGATATCCAAATAGTCTCAGCACCATTTGCTGAAAGACTGTTCTTTCCCTGGAGTAGTTTTTAAATCAGGAAGTGAAAGTCCTCCAACTCTGTTCTTTTTCAAAATTTGTCTATTCTAGGTCTTTTGCAATTTTATATAAATTTCAGGATCATCCTTGTAAATTTCTGCAAAAACCTGCTGATCTTTTTTTGAAAATTTACTAGTGCTAAGACTTCTGATCCATGAATATAAGCTGCCTCTGTTTGTTTAGATCAGTGGTTCTCAACCTTCTGGCCCTTTAAATACAGTTCCTCATGTTGTGACCCAACCATAAAATTATTTTCGTTGCTACTTCATAACTGTAACGTTGCTACTGTTATGAATCGTCATGTAAATATCTGATATGCAGGATGGTCTTAGGAGACCCCTGTGAAAGGGTTGTTCAGCCGCCAAAGGGGTCATGACCCACAGGTTGAGAACCACGGGTCTAGATCTTTAATTTCCCTCAGCAATATCTTGTAATTTGCTGTGTGTGAGCACTGATTTTGTTAGATTTACTCTTTAAGTTTTTGTTTTTTAATGAGCCTGTGTTCAGACAAGAGTAATAAATAATAGCTGAGTTGGTGGGTGTGTCTGCTCACTTCCACCATCATTGTAAGGGTGAGTTAAATCTGACATAATACTGATTTTCTTTTAAAGGCGCTTGTTACCTGTGGATGCAGTGGTGGTGGTTTGTATGTCCGTGTGTGTGTGTGTAGTCCACATATATGTTAACTGCCTGATGAGTAAGAGCTTGGATAATGGAGGCGGAGTGAGATTTTTAAAAATTGAGTGCAAAAATACAAATGTCTATGTTCTAAAATAATTTAAAGACCTGGCCAACAGGGAGCAACTCCCAGCATGCCTTCCTGGAGAAAGAACGTGCTGCTCATTAGAACCCCAAACCTGGCCTCCCCCTGGGCAAAATCTAAGGCTTGCTGAAATCTTGTCTCCCAGGCAGATGCGTGCCACGCCTACCAGATCGTCCACCGCAACGGGATTCCCGACGAGCAGATCGTGGTGATGATGTACGATGACATCGCCAACTCTGAAGAGTAAGTACGCAGCACTCTCGCGGGTGGCGTCCTTACACCAGTGGCCTCCCATTGGAATGAAACAGACTTGCAGGTGGAATTTCACAGGGCTGCTTCACGTAGAGCTTTGCACATAGCTTGGGGCACCCTGGCAGTGGCAGGGTCATGGGCAGTGGGTGCCGAAGGGAGTTTGGGGCTGGCGCTTTTGAAGCGTTGAAAGCACAATACGTTCCTCCTCCGCCTGGAGACCTGGTCACTGGGTCCTGAGGTGCTTGTCCCTGACCTCCGAGCAGGCAGACAGCACGGGGGGGACCCTCTGCAACCTGTACGCAGAGGGCTCGTTTGCAGGGTGGATCCCACCACCTTTACGTGCCTGTTTTACTATTACTCATTTAATTTACGTTTACAAATAGTTATGTCGTGCCTGCTTATCTGACTTCTGGGGGAGAGGAGGAATAGCAAGTGTGGGCATGAAACCTAGGCAGTGTGAGTCTCCTCTGCTCCTGGTCACCCGCTGTGGCCCCCACGAAGGCCACTGCCCCGTCCTGAGATCACAGGGCAGCTCAGATTCCACGTTGAGCTTTAACGCCTAAACTCTCTTGTTAACGTCCTTGTCTGCCAGGCACATGCGTGCCACGCCTACCAGACGTGTCCCGTCTTTTCCTACATGTTGCTTTGCTCTGAGAGATCTCTGTGAGACGTGGCCCCAAGATGCTGTGTGATGCAGCGGGAGGGAGCCCAGGCACACCTAGGCTTTGGTCCCTGTCCTGAGTGTCAGAGCTCGGCCTTCACTGCTCCTGCCTAGAGCTTGACTTGCAGGATGACCGGGATCCCCAAGCCGCTAAAATCACTGCACTCGATGACTGTGAGGCGATGAGCAGTGTCTTAGACAGACAGACGGTTACTGTCTTTCTGTGTAACGGGCGTAGTTTTGAAGAGAGAGATTTCAGAGACATGTCAGAGTTTGTGTCCTTTGATTTTCAGAAACCCCACTCCAGGAGTTGTGATCAACAGACCCAACGGCTCGGACGTGTACAAGGGGGTCCTGAAGGACTACACCGGGGAGGTGAGGCCGGCAGCATGTGGCCTTGGTGCCAGATGCGTTTATTCTCATTTTTGTGATGATTTTCCTGTTTCGTGTATTTCTGGCATCAGAACCGCACTAAACTGATTTCTGATTGGTGGTTCATGTTTGTATTAGGATTTGTGCTTGAGTAATTTTTGAGAGCTTTGATGGAAACTAGAAGGAAAAAAGGAAAGAAAAAAGTAAGAAATAAGTTGTAGTCTGCCAATCTTTAGTTTCCAGTCTTTATATATATTTACTAGAGGCCCAGTGCACAAAAATTTGTGCACTCGGGGCAGGGGGAATCCCTCAGCCTGGCCTGTGACCTCTCACAGTCTGGAACCCCTCGGGGGATGACCATCTGCTGGCTTAGGCCTGCTCCCTGGGGGATTGGGCCTAAGATGGGAATCAGACATCCCTCTGGCAGCCCGGCAGCCCTCGGGGGATGTCCACTTG